AATAAAACTTTAAAATATATTAATAAAAATTTTTTTAAAAAAATATAAGAAATAGAATAAGTATTAAGACATAATATGTCTAAATTTTATAATTTTTGATTGTATAGTTAATAATTTAAAAATTGTTAAAGTTGAAATTTATAATAAAAACATAATAAGTGGACTAGTGGGAATAACATAATTATGTTATTTCCACTTAGTCTAGGTTATTTCCACTCAGGTGTGTGTCGTGATCCAAATTTTGTGACACAGACTAAGGTGTCATGATCCAAATTTTGTGACACAGACTAAGGTGTCATGATCCAAATTTTGTGACACAGACTAAGGTGTCGTGATCCAAATTTTTTGGCACATAGATAAGTAGACAGCTTGTATATCCTTTAGAAACATTATCGATATCGAATTTGACCCTCTAGTCGGTTTTCCTTTGGAAAGAAATACCTGAATTAGGTTAAGACGTACCGTCATTCGAGTGATGCATTTCTATTATAACCCAAATTCGATAACGTTATATTATATACTGGTTCGGTGACCATGGCCGATTCTCGTTGTAATAAAATAACTGATCTAGGTTATGTTACTCGGGTTGGCTTTTGCGAGTTCAGGTCGATTGCGATATTTGTATGCTGGCTTGGTGTTCATGGCCAATTCCCGTCATTGGTCACATGGGTAAAAAAATATACCAACGATGCATTCAGTTATGTATCGTCATTTGCTAGCCCAATGTTACCTACCTATTGCAATCAAGTATGCCATATTCCTACTATCGGGTATGCTATCAAACATGTATGCGCAATTGCTAGAGGCGAAAGTACTATCATGTATATGCTATCAGGTATATCAGCTATGCTATCAAAAATGCTATCGAGTACGTTACAGTATATTAAAGTATGCCGATTTTGATTGCCAGAATTTTTGACAACTATACGGGATACCAATGCAAGGGTAATTTTAAAATCTTGTAAGGGACCACACCGTAAATATTCTTGCCGGAGGCAGTCTATTTGACAGATTTAACCATAGTTAGTGAATCAATTTCAATTCTCACTAGTCGATGTGTCAACATATGGCAGGAAATCGAGTGGGACTCGTTTTTGGGAGAGTTCACTGGATATGTCATAATCTATTAATAGTAGATATACTAACACATTACACATGAAAATATAGAAACACCATTTGACCTGGTTCATAATGCAAACACATCTACTAGAAGACGGCACCGTGAATTCTCCATTGGTCAAAGGGATCTTCTACTCGCGAAGTTCTTAGTAGAAGGAATAAAGTTGTCAACCGAAATAATGCAAATGAAACACAAAGTATTAATTCTTTTGAAATAATTCAGAGACATAACGATTCCAATGATTTATCAACTCCCTTGGAACATCCGAAGAAGCATCTAATTTGTCAAATATACCCTTGGAAGTGGTATCAGCATACATGATGTAGGGGGTAGTCAACCGTTCTCTCATTTGGAATCGAAGATAAATTCCTGATATATGGCCGGCCATATAAATTTATTCGTAATGTGATGAAAAAAATATATATGTGGATGACGTAACTCATCAGGCCAATTTCTTATATACAGTATATAAGGTATTTTCTTTCGTGAAAATTGCATATAACACAATTATAAACGAATCTTCTGCTTGTATGTTCTCGGATCGTACAATAACAAACGAATTTTCTGCTTGCGTGTTTTATCATCATTACACAGCGGAAGAAAGGTGAGAAATAACTAGCCTTAGAAACATTGAATAAAATGCAATTTATAATAAAAAATTACACTTTGCACATGATTGGCTTGTTACTCTAACTAGCCTTCAGAGTTCAATTTGCTACTAATAGAAAAATCTCATTTTGCAATGATTGATTCGATAATCGTTTTTTTTCGATGTCTGTAATCGCAAAATTCTTTTCAACTCTCAAGGAATCACGGAAAATAGTCAGAGACTTGCTTAATCTCCCGAATCACAACAATACTCAAGCAAATAAATTTACGAAAAATGATGTAGAAGCATTTAGAGTGAAAATTCAACCGGCATCCGAAGACCATGTTATTCCTAACGAGGTAGTCAAAGAAATTCCAGAAAAATACGTTTGCCCCAGAATAAACAGAGATATGCTCGATAAAGCAGAGTTCAAAGTTCAAGAAATTAGCGATTTTTCGGATAGAAAAGTCAGAACTTTCTTTTACAAACTACATAACGTTACAAGAAACATACCAGGAATACCTGAATCTAGGACTGACGATTTAGTCTTTAATTTACTTAATATTTCCGGGCTGGATGACTGGCCTTTGAATATATCGTGAGTAACTTAAAAGATCCATGTCTTATTTAAATGACTTCCTAAATTTTCCTTCTACAAAATCTAGAATTCATCCACCAAGTAAACTACATATTTTCAATGAGCCTTATGTTTCGGCAACTCCCGGATTTGTAGTTAGTAAAGAAACAACATCTATGATTATTACAGAAGTATGTATTCTTTTTGATTGATTGGCAAGTCAATTTCTTTGATTACTTAAGTAGGTTTTTTTACAGGATAAAAGCTTACAAAATGTTGACCCTAGAAATGATTTTGGGGAAATGCAAATTGTCGCCGAAATACTTTCTTGCGGAGATGAAAATATACGTAAAATTAAGAAGATCATGGATCAATCTTTATTTGCCATTCGTTTTGTCTCTACCTATACTACGTTTTACAAGGCTGAGATTTCCGCAAAATATTGGGAGGAGCTTGCTGAAGTTTTACCAAAAGTTAATTCAGTTGAAATTAAAAGATGGCCAGGAGAAAATAATGATAAAAGTGGTCTTGATCTTGCAGACCCAGATGATAGGAAAGCAGTGTTAACTGCATTAACCAAAATTCGACAATTTCTTTTAAAGTAGGCATCAGTAATAATAACATAATGGAATTGGTTTAACTGCGCTTGATGCACTTTATATTTCAGTATATTCGTGATTTTCTTACTGTAATAATCATAATTTCAAAGTTAACAGGTAATCAGATCCAAAGCATTATAAATTACTTTACCGATTCTAGCGTAGATCACGTGATTTGATCAGCATGAACCGAAGTTCACACCACGTGATCTGTGGCGCAGTACATATTAAATGATATGCCGATCAACTTATATTGGTTAATAAAGCAATTATATATCGGATTTGTAAATGTGAATCGTATATTAATACATGTAACATGTGATCATGTCGCAGAAAATGATCATGCTTGTTATATATACATTGTCGAAGTCAATATCAAGTTAACTTATGCTTTTATACTTACTATGTAGATTGAATTCTGATATTTATTTTCCCAGCATCTGAGACGATAAGTACTTGTATTGACATAATCACCACTGTTCCACTCACCTTTTAAATTTTTGTCTTTATGAACTTTATTACATATACTACATGATGTTAGACAAGTAAAGTAATGAATAAATTCTTTAAAATGAATTCTAAACTACAATTCTCACTACAACCCAGGCCCAAAGGGGTGAATCTTTAGATTCATATAGATATCTCCCATTCTCATCATATACATCACTCGCAAAATATGACGATTATACACAACTCATCTAATAATCCAGGCCCTATGGGGCGCTCTTCAAGCATCTGCACTAAAATTGAATCGTATATTCATATTGTATAAAGTTATTAAATCAAATAGGTAGATTTAAATATCCTAATCGATAAATAAATATGTCTGGTTTTGATATCACTACTATCATTGATAAAAAAGATAAAACTCTTCCTAAACCATATATTAATCGTCCCGGTTTTGATACGAAGTATGCTGTATCATATATATTACATTATGGCGGAACTTATGCTAATGAACTCAATCAAATTTTCGATAATGAGAGATTATTTGATACATTATCTATCATAAAATAGAATGAAACACCGATTCAATGGGCAATACGGGTCAGAGTACCTTTACAGAATTTATTAAATATCGGGAAATTTAGTGTATATCACCGGCTATGTTTATTCACATCATTTGGTAAAGGTAAATTTGTTAATTTCAATTATTATAGACTAAAAATTCATAAAAGTCATATGGCTATTTGTTTTGGTTGCTGGAAACTCATAAAAATCAATGATGTACAGCCCCCAAAAACATTCCATTTTACTAAACGAAGATATGTTGATTATCTCGTACCTAGTGATTTGATGATCGGTCATTGGGATA